CGGTCTTCACCTCCGCGATCTCTCCGTCGAGCTCCCCAAACCCTCCTCTCCTCTTTGCTCCATCCCTCTCTTCTCTCCTCCATCGGATCTCGCTGTCGAGCTCCTCTCCGCCTTCAGCCCTCCTCCACCATTGGATCTCGCCGTCGTCGCCCCCGTCGGAGCCAAGCCCGCAAGCCCCGTCGTCGCCAGTTTTCAACCCCGTCGGAGCCAAGCTTATTGAAGCCCGCGGAACCTTTTTTGCTTGATTTTGATAAATATTAGATGTCATAATTAGTCATCGGCCTCTTTAAATTTGAGATTATGAGGCAACATTAGGCTAAAAATTTGACTTAATAACCAAAAATCACAAAAAGGATGGTTGCAACTTCTTCGAGGATTTTTACACAAAACCTTTTTTGTTTCATAATGCGTAATCACAAAAAGGATGGGTGCAAACTCCTGGTCAAATTATTATGAGTTCATTGTGAGTTCTTGTCTTCTGTAGAAAAGAATGAAGCTGTTACATTTGTATCTGATGCGAAGCGGTCTTCCCCTTGCTTGAGGAGCTCAAAGAAATTGGGTGAGCATTGACATGAACAGTCCTTTTGACATATTTAGGAGATTCCCCCCCGCAGCTTTACACTAATCCTGCTTATTTTCACCTAGACTGTCATAGCTATAGAACGGTTTTCCCCTAGTTAATGATGTTTAATTTGCGTTTTTCAGAATCAGTTGAAAACGGCAAATACAAACACAACACAACCAGTTTTATGTCACCCACTCATGAAGCAAAATCTGATTGTTGGAAGTCCTCCTTTTCACCTGTAAAACTCTCGCTAGACTTGGGTAAGCAAAATCTGATTGTTGGAAGTTAATATATGCAGTATGTTCTTGAATTTTCATATGTGATAATCAAGGTTGCATACTACCAAGGCCAGAAGTTAATATATGCAGTATGTTCTTGAATTTTCATATGTGATAATCAAGGTTGCATACTACCAAGGCCAGTGGAGAAGAAGACGAGGGTTTAGTTCAAAAATGATGAATGATGTAATTTTATATCACTATTGGTGAGAAGGGGTTGAAGTCGTTATGTATCTGTGTATGTTGAGGCTATTTTAGGTGTGTATAATTTTGGGTTGAGTTTTTGTATCTTTTGTGTTGGTCCGTGATGAAGGCAGAGCACCACTGGGTCTCTTTCTTTGATGCATTCTTTCTGTATATTTTGTTATGTATTTGTGTGGTAGCCCAAGTGAATGAATTTTTCTATGATGCATTCTTTGATGATGTACAATTTATTCTGTAATGGAAGCTACTTGGTTTGTGATCGCGACTTATTGCTCTTTCGTTTTGAGTTGTCATGTGTGCCTCAAGAGAAACAGATGGTCTAAAGGATGCATTAACTCTTTAAATGTTGTTTCATCTTTTGTTTAATCTTGAATTTCAAACATGATGGTTCATCTTTTAATTCAAGCATGCATGGGCAAACACCACCAGCAGCAAACACTCCTGAAGATCAGATGACTCTGTTCAATTAAGGGAACTTGAAAATCAATCAAAACCAATAGCTATTGCTACTTCTGCCTTAGCTCCAAATACCAGGCTCGTTTAATGTCTTATGTGTACTATTATTTGCATTGCAACAACAAGCTCTAAACAATGCAGCTCACTTATTAGAACATATGAACACATGTTTATGGTATCTGGCATTACATCTCTCTAGCACTTTTTTTTAAAAGCAAAAATAGATTTCATTAATCGAAAGAAAGAAACATGGTTTCGCCTCTCATAGTGAGCGAACAGATCATAAGTGAGACAACCCTCACTCTTACATAAGGTTCTAATAAGAATACAAAAAATAAGACAAAAGACTTGTGAGCTTATGAACATGTAGCTCTTGACCAAAATATAAGATACAAAAAGATATGCTTAACCGTCACATCGGACATTCCTCCGTGTTGTTTCCAGATGCATATAAATCACAAAACCAGAAACCAGCAAGATTGTCGGCCACCCAATCTCCAGCAAAATGATGATATTTCGGCTGGAAAATGTAAACCAACATTTGAAAATCAAGCAAGCAATAGCATCCATTCCGCTACAGTAATATTGATCAGCAGCAATAGCATCCATTCCAGAAAGCAAAGTAAAAACCAGCAAGCTCCAACCGCAGATCATCCCAACTCCAGGCTGAAATGGATGCCAAGCAATAGCCTGTTCAGTGGCGAAAACATCACAGTCTCACTACAACTTTGAACTTTGAATTTCGGCCGATAAAAATGTTTGATTATGACAAATCAATAATTTTTATATTGGTTACTTATCAATATTAGTTTGTATTTGTCATATATTATGTTTGAATATATTACATAAAGTCCCTCTATGGTTTGGATGAATCACATAAAATTCCTTTAAGGTTTCAAAAAGTTCAATGCCCTCATTTTTTTTTATTTCTAGTCAACTAATAATCATGTTTTTCAATGTAATCATCAATTATTAACATAAAAATCATATTCATTATTATTGGGAATCTAGATAATTGTTATATCCTGATGTTCATCCAAAATTTGTAACATACCCGAATCCACCCTGACCGAGCAAATTGCTCTGGGAAAATCCGCCAGTAGCCGCTGCAACCTCTTTGTAGGTGAAGATGCTCTTGTTCCTCTTTTATCCCCTGCAATTATTAACATAAAAATCATATTCATTTTTTTTATTTCTAGTCAACTAATAATCATGTTTTTCAATTGTCGATTTAGGGTCTACAAGATTAAAAATATTCAAGCATCTGCTTCCTCTTTTATCCCCCGCACCTCTTTCTTGTTCCTTTTCTCTGTCCTCGCTTTGAGCTTGATTCTGCATATAGACCAGTCATCAAACTGCACGAAGAAAAAAAAACAATATCAAACCGGCCCATAATCTTCCGATATCTTTCACTAAAAAATTCACCATCTAATAAACTGATGTATCGATTGTTGTCAGATCTTCAAAGCTGCAGAACCCCCTCAAGAGTCCAAATCCACACAAATCCTGTTCCGCGGGCTTCAATAAGCTTGGCTCCGACGGGGTTGAAAACTGGCGACGACGGGGCTTGCGGGCTTGGCTCCGACGGGGGCGACGACGGCGAGATCCAATGGTGGAGGAGGGCTGAAGGCGGAGAGGAGCTCGACAGCGAGATCTGATGGAGGAGAGAAGAGAGGGATGGAGCAAAGAGGAGAGGAGGGTTTGGGGAGCTCGACGGCGAGATCGCGGGGGTGAAGACTGGCGACGACGGGGCTTGCGGGCTTGGCTCCGACGGGGGCGACGACGGCGAGATCCAATGGTGGAGGAGGGCTGAAGGCGGAGAGGAGCTCGACGGCGAGATTCAATGGAGGTGAGAAGAGAGGGATCTGGAGAGGAGAGAAGAGAGGTATTGGGTTCTGGGGAGAGAGAGGGTGAGGGTACGGGGAAGAGAGAGGTTGAGGGTACTGTTACTTTAGAAAATTTCCTGCGTTGCAAGTGTATGGCATGTGAGCCCCACACCGATGTGACTAGTAGGGGGTCTCACATATCATACACTTGCAGCGCAGGAAATTTCCTACGCTGCCAGCTCACCTCCCGTTTTCTCTCTCTATATATGTGTGTGTGTGTGATCTTTCCCAGCGGTTGGAGGTGTATGTTGACGGGTTAAGAGTTAACCTAATAATGGTTTCAAGATCTAATTAATAAAAAAATAGCAGATCGAGGTACCAATTTGCAAGACCGATGGAGGTTTGAGGGACGTATGAGTAATTCCAAACTTTGAGGAACTAATATGAAATTATTTAAGATTTAACGAGTCAGCGAAGCGACCGAGTCGAAACTCCAAGGACTCCCCTAAACCCAAGCCCAAACCCTAGCTACAGACAAATTATATTTGGGGAGAAAAGAGGAAGCCAATGAGCTAACGATCCGTTCGAGGCTTTATTTCGCATAAAACACCTCGATCCTATCGATTCCCTTCCCCCTCTTTAAATTCGTGACCAACTACTCACTTTTCCAGTAGATCTCGAGGTTCCAAAAGAAAAGAAAAAAAAAAAAACAGCGAACAGAGCTACGATCTTCCAAAAGGTGAGCCCTTTGAGAACGCGGCGAATGATTTCATTTGAAATGGCTCCCATTTTGAGATTTTCATTTAACTGCTAGGGAAAAGTTCTTTCTTTCTCGATGCAAAGATTTGAACTTTCCTTTTCGCTGGATTTTTATTGCCATCCGCAAGCTGGGCCTTTTTTTGAGTTTTTATTCTTTTTTTTTGTGTGAAAATTTTAGCATCACCGTCCCTTTTTTGCGCATAATGTTGACTTTTATGGGAATGCTGCTGGTCATTTCGACGCTGGGGGATAAAATTATCAAAAACGTGGAAACCTTTAGAGGATATTGTATTGTTTTTTAGTTACTAGATTATCGCAGTTAGCTGCTGAGCTGATTCTTTCGTTTATGAACTGTGAACTAATGATAGAAGTTCGATGCAGGTTCCTTTTGTTATTATCGATAGAAAATGGCAGCAATGGCTGGTACCAGTCTTCAAATGGCCGCCTCAGGTTCCCGCATCACTTGTGCTCGGAGGAAAGTCACATCTACTGCTCAAGCTAAGCCCGGAAGCTCGTCCCGTGTCTCCTCTGTTCAAAATCATCGAACGAGCTTTGCGCCTGCTTCCGTGAAATTAAACAATGTTGTCACGAGGGCAATGGCCAGTGAGAGTGAGAAAACTGGTCCCTCAGGATTGACAATTGATTTGCGAGGTGATAAAATTTTATGTTTGTTCTTTTTCCTGCCAGTAATTTTGAATTCAGTAGCTATTTATATAGCGCTGGACTGACTTACTCTTCTATAGTGTGTATACCCAGCATTTCATTTTTCTGTATGCTCAATGTTTTCTAAAACACACCCAGAATGTGTAAAAATGTTTTGGTGAATGATGCAGTCCGGTGTCTATTCTTAACTATGCTTGAAAAAAAGATAAGGTGATGGTACGCTACACGCTGTTTTTTTGAGTTTTGTTCACCAACTTATGTTGAATAATACATAGACGTTTGAAAGTCTCTCTGGGGGAAAACAAAAGGAATATATAGCTAGTCTGTGTTAGTTAAGCTTCTTTTCTTAGTGATATGAATGTTTCACCTGTAACTTATCTGTAAGAGCATCTCCAACAGCTTCCCCAAAATTTTCTCCAAAATGGAGAAACAAAAGTCATATTCTCCAAATTATTTTTGCTCCAACTCCAACAGCTTCCCCATTTTAAAAAATCGCATTTATTACAATAATAAAGCTCTCCCCAAAAATTTGGAGAATGCTGCAGATTTGGGGAAGGCTCCCTATTTTTTCTCCTCCTTCCCTATTTTGGGGAATGAGATGGGGAATCTGTTGGACCAAAAAAAAGCTCTATATTCTCCAAATTTGAGTATTTCAAGAAGATGGGGAAGCTGTTGGAGATGCTCTAAGTGGATCACTAGCAAGGTTTTAAATATCGGTTATCGGGGATTTATCGGATGGCCAAAATCCTTATCGGATAGCGAAAATCGGGTTTTAAATATCGGTTATCGGGGATTTATCGGATGGCCAAAATCCTTATCGGATAGCGAAAATCGGGATATATCGGGGATAAGTAGTATTTATTGGAGCAATATACTGGATGGTGTATATATATAATATAACAACTAAAAAATGTAATCTAACCGTGCTTAATGAAATATAAACATACCAAAACAGAAAAGCAAAGTATGTATAGTTTATTCACTAATTTCTTATATAAGTCTCTGTTACAGGAAAAACAAAAAAGCAAAGTATGATAAAAGAATAGTTATAGAACTGATATTACTCAAAAGAGAAAGTGTGTGCGTGAAGGAATTACAAGAGAAGGAAAGCTCACAACATGTGTATATAGCCATGTTTCCGGACAAAAAAACATGGTTGACAGAGGGTAGGCGAGCGACGAAGTTCAAGGTTGAAGTTCACAAAGGCGAGTGACGAAGAGGCGCAGAGAACATGAGATGGAGATAACGGAGGAAGCGCCCAACAAGAAAAGGAGCAGCCCCCAGAGACGAAGTTAGGGTTTGAAGGTTGGATTCACAAAGTTTCGGGTTTTAAGTTTCATATTATTAACAAAACGGGTCGGGTCGGGTTTTAAAAACTCAAAAACTCAACTCGAAATGCCTGACCGATAATCCCGATAATTTAGCCTTACTTATCGGCCGATAAGTACCGATAACTCGCCGATAATCTCTCCAAAACGATAACCGATTACAAAACCAACTTATCCTAGCGGAGAGCTCAAAAATCCGATAACTCGGCCGATAATATCGATTATCGACCGATATTTAAAACAATGATCACTAGCCTCTCCCAACTTTCCCTAGTAATATGCTGTATGAGCTAAGTTTATTTTTTTTTTGAAAATGCTCGGCGGAAATATTAGACTAGTATAAAAGACTTCGAAAAGCAACGTGTAACGTCATTACAGCTCTATGTTTTCACTCTGAGTTTCTTTATGACTCACGTCTGATTTTGTTTCATTATGAACTTTAATTGCTACGTTAAAGAATAGTCCTAAGCCAAGCCTCCCCGGTCGCGCCCCGCCCCTCGCTCTCATCTTTCTTTGACATGTTCCTGTTGTCAGGCATGATACTTGTCTCTTTTGTTCTTTTCTAAAATTTAACTCTAGGAATTCATTCTACTCCAGGTTTTTATCACTTTGAGATCCTGAAACAGTCCAAATTTTAGTTTTCTTTTTGGTCAAGGTTTCACTCTAATGACACACATTCCTGTTTTTGGATACAATTCCTGTCTCTTGTGTTCATTTATGATGTTTATCTCTTTGATAATAAAAGTTCACCTTAATATGACAATTGTATAAATATGAAGAATCATTATTGGCATAATGTTATTTATGCCTTTCTAATTATTGCTTGTTCAAGCTGTAGAGATATGGATTCATCTCCAATGTATACTGTAACATCCTCTGTATCCTTACTGTATAGATTATCAAGCCCTTCTATTTTTATTTCTTATCAGATGATATGATTCGCTGCTACATAATTAATAATATTATATAATGCA